AAGAAGAAGAAGAAGAAGAAGAAGAAGAAGAAGAAGAAGAAGAAGAAGAAGAAAAACAAGAACAAGAAGAAAATGACAAAGAAAAATGAGTAGAAGAAGAAAAATAGAAAAGAGTCTAATGCAATGCGATGCGGGCCAGGAATAAGGAGAGGGGAGGTGACCAAGGCAGGCCAATAATTATACCGACGGAGAGGAAACATGCAGTAAGGTTTGTTTTGAAATTTTTATCAAAATATTGACTAGAATTACTAGAATGTTCTGACTCCATCTTTCATATGTGGATAAGGGTATGACGTGACGGTATAGAAAGAGAAATGGTGTTTAAAACCCATTCAGACAAACCCCCTTGCTTAATTTTCAATGAAAACAATAGGGTGATTCCTCGGTTGTGAGGAACAGACTATTAGTTGTACGGCGTGAAACTTTCAACGGATGCCTGACCCCAATCTCGCCTGAATCGAGGAGTGACGCGTCTCTACTTTTTTGTCTCCGGTACTAATTAATCCTTTTAGTACCACATATAAACAGTACAAAACCAAAAGGTGTAAAGAAGAGCACCGATGTATCGAAGCTTGACACAAGAAGAGTTAAGCCTTATAAATGGTGATAGAATAGGATGGGGAGTCGTGAGAAGTTCTACTTCTTTATTCATGTTTGCTGAAGTCATGTCGTTTGCTAATGTTACTTCAATGAACAAACATTTACATATTACGTTCTTGATTCCAGCTTCAGACCAGATGGAGACAGAGAGAGAGAGAGAGAGAGAGAGAGAGAGAGAGAGAGAGAGAGAGAGAGAGAGAGGGAGAGGAGGAGGAGGAAGGGGGGTTGTTGTAGCGTGACATGTCTGATTTCGCGAAATTACAAAAATGAATAGACATAAAGGTCTTGAACATCTAGCTCTCACTGGCAAAACTGACGACAAACGAGGCAGAGGTAGGCCCAGAGCAATCTACTTAGGGAACCTAAACAAATGGGTATTAGAGAAAGATCAGGGACATGTAGCTTAAGAGCATCTAAGCAAAGGAAGGAATGAAGAAAGAATGAATTACTAGTACTAGTCTTGAAATTATACCCGTCTAGAAAATCTTGTTGATCGACAATAACCACGCCCCAGCCCACCCCCTAAAGAAAAACACCAAACAAAAACAAACAAACAAACAAACTAGCAACAAAACAAAAAGAAAACAAACACAAATAAATATTGCACAAGGCTTTATTGGCACAAATCAATATTTTAATGGTATCCGTTGTACTGCATTTGTGAATTTCGTGTGGGAGACTAGGACTTGCAAGAATAATAATTTCGTCCGCTTATTCTGAAACCTTTTCTGCATAACGGTTGTCAGAAACTGTGAAGCATTTTGAAATTTAATAAAATTGACCAACCCCCCCCCCCCCCCCCCCCAACAACCCTGAACACTTGAAACCGTTATTTACAGAAATTCGCAACAGATGACGCCAACTCAAACAAAATTCAGTATTTTGTATAGTATATCATACACACATGCATGGAATAAGAGTCTAAACGCGTACACAAATAATAGCAAACATACATTATACATTAACTTCGCATGATTATTTACGTACATGGAATTATACGATACAAGTACAGGGCCTGAACGTTTCCGTTTCACTCGTTTCTCTCTCTCTCTCTCTCTCTCTCT